TCCTTCCTTCCTTCTTTCCTTCCTTCCTTCCTTGCTTCCTTCCTCTCCCTCCTTCCCCTTTCCCTCCCTCCTTACTTTTCCTACTTCCTTCTCCTTTCTTTTTTCTTTTATGGATACCAGTACAGGGGCTTGAACTCAGAACTTGAGTGCTGTCCCTTAGCTTTTGCTCAAGGCTAGCTCTCTACCACTTGAGTCACAGCTCCACTTCCGGCTTTTTGCTGGTAAATGGCAGGTAAGAGTCTCATGGACCTTCCTGCCTGAGATGACTTCAAATGGCAATCTTCAGATCTCAGCCTCCCAAGTAGCTAGAATTAAAGGTGTGAGCTACCAGCAACCAGCTGAATATACAAACATTAAAAAAATATGAATAATGTATATTCTGGAAAGTATACCTGCATAAATACAAAGCTCTTAAACATATATGGCAAAGAAAAGCTTAAGGAAAGACAGGAAATTAGAAATCAAAGCTAAGGACCATGAAGCTTCTTCACTTCTTTTTTTTTGGGGGGGGGTCTGGTCCTGGGCCTGAATTCTGGGTCTGGGCGATGTCCCTCAGCTCTTCAGCTCAAGGCTAGCGCTCTACCACTTGAGCCACAGCACCACTTCCAGCTTTTTTTCTTTTTGTTTATGTGGTGCTGAGGAATCGAACCCAGGGCCTCATGCATGCAAGGCAAGCACTCTACCACTGAGCCACCTTCCCAGCCCATCACTTCTGTCAACTGCTCTAGGCCCTCATTTCTTATGTCGTCAAGATGCTTTAGGAAGCACTGACAGAAAGAAGGTTGATGAAACTCTAAGAGGAGGAACTGTACTATCTGGGTATAAAAGAAATTAAGCAATAACACTGGGTATAAAAGGAATTAAGCAATAACACTTGAATGCCTTGAAGTGTGATGAGAAAATAAAATATTTTACTTAATAATTTATTTAGACATACAAACCATCATTTCCCAGAGTGTTTCTCAAAACCTGGACAAGCTACTACTAAAAAGTATGGCAAGTTCTAAGGAAGCAATTTAACTGGCTCCTTCAGTGTGGTGAAAAAACAAAAACAAAAACACATAATGTTTAGAAATATTCTCAAGGACAGAAAACCAGTCCACAGCATTAAATTGTTTGTCCATGGACTCACTTTTTATAGAAGCCCTCTCCAGAGATATCTTTCCTGAAGAATGTGACTAAGAAATAGCAAACTTATTCTGATGAACTAATTTAAAAGTGAAAATATCTAATTTTTATAAAGTACTTTGTGTGTCATTTTTAATTCCTAAACTACAGCACATGCATGTGACAGCTATACAAACATAATAACATCATTAAATATTTACTTTTTTGTGTATATGTGTGCCAGTCCTGTGCTTGAACTCAGACTCTGGGCACTATAACTTTTTTTTTTTTTTTTGCCTAAGACTAGTGTTATTCCATTTGAACCACAACTCCATTTCTGACTTTTTGGTGGTTAAGTGGAGGTAAGAGTCTCACAGACTTTTATGCTCAGTCCTGGCTTTGAACCAAGACCCTCAGATCTCAGCTTCCTGAGTAGCTAGGGTTACAGACATGAGCTACCAGCACCCAGCTTAAATATTTTCTTTTTTATATAGTATCTACAGGAAAACAACATGCCTGTTTGTGTTAACTTTAACTAGATTCACATTCAAACTGTTGTTTATTTTGACTTTGCTTTTGTCAAGATTTATTATTAAAAGTATGATCCTCTTCTACCCTCTGACCTTGGTATCCAAATGCTTTGTGATACTATAAACTCAAAATGTATTTCATCAAGGTTTCAAGATAAGAGAAAAAAGAGCTAAAGAAGGATACCTGTTGATTCCTTCAAATTTCTTAAGGAAAAACTATGTCAGTGCTTACTAATCATTAAAAGATAAGGAAATAATGTATTTCCTGAAGTGCTTATTACTTGGAGAGAGGCAAACGTAGGCATCCAACATAAAAATTAAAATGGCAAGGTTATAATATTAAATGGATATGTGCTCAAATTATAAGACTAGGTAGTTACATTGAGGTAATAAAACTTAACTTTGCCCATTATCATAAAATACTAAGTCTTCAAATTAAGCTTCTGAATCTCACATATTTTACAAAGATAAGGAAGGTCTACAAGCTATTTATTAAAGAGCTAATGCATATAAATAAAATTAAAATCATTTTATTTTAAGCTGCAAATGCTTTCGGGTTATTTACTAGGAAAAAGTAAAACTAAAAAGGGTAGAAAATGTTTTTGAAAATGTGTTTTGAAAACACATTTTTGCAAACAAACATGTTCCACAATCTAAAATATGTTACTATTCATTAAAAAAACGTTTATTGAGCCAGGCACAGGTAGTCCACACTTATAATCCTACCTTCTCAAAAAGTGGAAATCAAGGAGGATCAAGAATTCTGCTTAACTCCAGAAAAGAACTTCCATGAAATTCCATTTCAAAAGAAAAAGCTGGAAGCAAGGCACCAGTAGATCACACTTACAATCATAGCTACTTTAGGAGGCTGGGGTCTGAGGATCACAGCTTGAAGACAGCCCAGGCAGAAAAGTCCATGAGACTTTTATCTCCAGTTAACCACAAAAAAAGCTGGAAGCAGAGCCGTGGCAGCTCCATTGGTAAAGCACTTGCCTTGAGCAAAAAAGCTTAGGGACAGCACCAAGTCCCTGGGTTCAAGACCCGCCCCCCCCCCATACACACACACAAAAGTTGAGAATGGTAATGTAAAACTGTCATCCTTGCTGCACAGAAAGCATAAATAGCAGATTGGGATCAAGGTCAGCCCTGGCAAAAAGTGAGACCTTATCTGAAAAATAACCAGAGGAAATAAAGGTTGGATGAAGCAGTAGATTCAAGCAGTACATCATCTGCCTCACAAGTTGAAGTCCTGAGTTCAAACCCCAGTATCAAAAAAACAACAACAAAAAAAATAATGGCTTTTGTAGCCAGACATGGTGGCCCATATCTGTAATCCTAGATATTTGGGAGGTAAAAATCAGAGGGACTACAGTTTAAGATTGACCCAGAGAAGAAAATGTGCTAGGCTCTTTCTCAGCCAATAAAAAGTCAGTCATGGTGGTATGCAGCCATCATTCTGAAAAGCACTAATAGGAGAATCGAAGTCCAGGATAACCTATGCATAAATATAAGAAAGAACTAGAATAAAGAAGGGAAGGAATTGTGTTGAAGTGGTAACAAGTTCTTAGTTAAATTCTCAGTAACATGAAGGGAGGAAGGTAAGAAAGAGGGGGAACAGAATTTTTAGCTAAAAAAATTCAAATGCTTTGCACATAAAATGTATTTTTATTAATGGTATATATCAATTTAGATGGAATATAAATGTTTCTATTATAGTGTTTTTAGCTGTCATCAACAATATATGTATCACTTAACAGATTACTCATAACTTTGCATGAATATAATAAAGTGCCAACAGCCACCTACCTTTCTTTCTCTTGATTTCCTTTTTCACTTCCATTGTTAATCAAAGCAAGTTCATCTAATAATGATGTAGATTCCTTTGTAAACTTCTCAAAAACCTACAACATAGATATTATTAACAGGCTAAAAATAATTTTAAAAATCAATATGTAATGAGGATTTTCAGTTAAAAGGAACAGAATCAGTCAGTGAATATTTCCTTTCCAGCAAGTTACTCAGTACGGTTGAACTACAGAGTAAACAGTGCAGTTAATAAGATAAAATTATATCCTCCAAAAATGAATTGTTCTCATAGAAAATAATTTAAGTTAAAACACATTAAGAGATTATTTTTATTCTTCGTTCAGACAAGTTAATTTTTATTTTAGTTTATTTATTTCTGTCAGTTGTAGGGCTTGAACTCAGGGCCAGAGCACTGTCCCTGACCTTTTCTGCTCAAGATAGGACCCTACCACTTTAAGCTACAAATCCACTCCTGGTTTTCTGGTAATTAATCAGAGATAAGCCTCTCAAGGCCATGGCCTTTTCTGCCTGGGCTGGCACTGAACCACATTCTTCACATCTCAGCCTCGTGTGTAGCTAGGATTATAGGCATGAGACACCAGTGCCTGACAGACAAGTTAATTTTTATTCTTGTGTTTTTCTGAGGAACATTTGGACCCATAGCAAATTTTATAACTACATGAGTGGAGTAGGCCAATTTTGACCTCTAATTCTAATGACAGAATATGTCTTCAGCTTATTCTTTCACCAATCTATAATGTTATTATAAAATTATTAAGTTTTATAGATCAGTTGTAGCACAAAAATAGTCATAATTTTAACATTTCTGGAACAGGATTTGGGAAAAATGTGTTTAAATATATATAATAATTTGGCATGTGGACACAGTTGTCTGATATAACTGTTCAAATATGGTACAAGGAGAAATGGTTACACATTCAGAGAATCAAAGTACATTACTTTCCAATAACATTAACACCTAACCTAAACAAAATTAATTTGACAGTTTTGCAGTTTAATTAAATAATACATTATATACAGCAGCATTTCAGTCTGAACAGGAGATAGACTTTCAATCAAGATATATTTTTTTTCTGTCAAACTGCACCTCAAGCGGATAATTCAAACTGATGTTTAAATATCCTCTGAAAATTGTATATCAATAGGGTCACTTCTTTGATTCTACTTTTTGTGTGTCATTCTGTTATTCTACTTAAAAGATTGATCATTTTTACTGATACCTCTAATTCCAACAGCTAACACCACAGAATATGTTCATATGCTCATGTTGGGTGCAATTTTAAGAATTTGAGGTATATTCATTTTGCTTTACCCACAACCTTGCAAGGATGTGAGACATAGCGAAATTAAGGAAGTTACCAAAGTTCATATACTGACATCTTGATTCTAAATAAAGGAGTCTTATTCCAGATTAATTGTCCACAAACATTGTTATAATGTCCAGTATGCAATATACTTCTGTTTTTGTAAACAAGAAAAGCATCGACTTTTTAGTTGATTAAAGCTAGTTATGAAAATTTCTTATAACAGTAACATTTTATCTCACTATACTATACCAACCAGCCTCTTATTTAACCAGTCCATGTGATCATAAGTGAGACTCCCACCAAAGTCTTCTGTTAATTGGCATGGTTCTATGTAACGAGTCAACTTGTTGGCAGACACTAAAATAACCTGTAAGAAAAAAAGGAAAAAAAGTGACTAAATCATTACTAAAATCTTTGGAAGTAAGAAAGATATTGAACTATATTAAAATCTACAATACTATTGTAACATGATGACATATCATCATTTAATTAAGAACAAATTCAATTGGAAGACTGAAGCAAGACGGCACCTGAGTAACTTCCTTCAACCCATGAAAAAGAGATATGATTATAAATACATATATCTACTACAAAATACTCAGAAAAAGCTGGAAGTGGCACTGTGGCTCAAGTAGTAGAGTGCTAGCCTTGAGCACAAAGAAGCTCAGAGACAGCTCCCAGGCCCTGAGTTCAACCCAGGACCAGAATTTAATAAAATTAATAAAATACTAATAAAATTCAGAGAGCAACTAGGGAATAACTTATAAAACCCCAAAACTGGAACATCTAGAAGAAATATATTTCTACTAGTTTTATTTTTACCTACCAAAATTGAACCCAGAGGACAAAATCCATATAACAAGTCTATAAAAGACATAGAAATTAAAGTACTAACAAACTATTATCCAACAAACAGCCCAGAACCTGATGAATTAACTGCTGAATCTTACCATATCTTTAAAAATTTCAAATCAATATTTCTCAACTAGTTCCATCAAGTAGAAAGAAAAGGAACATTAGCAAAGTCATTCTATATTATTTTGATGTCAAAACTAGAAATGACACAACAACAAAAACAAATGCCCTAATGAACACAGGTGTCAAAATTTCTTAATAAATACTTGCGAACCAAATTCAGCATAGCAAAAAAGAATATAAACTATAATCAAGGTGGCCTCATTCAAGGATAGTTCAACATGTGCAAATCAATAATAAACATAATAATATAAAACAGTATAAAAACAAACTAAAACAAAAAACACATTATCATCCCATTAGATGCAGAAAACACTATTAACAAAATTCACCATCACTTTATGATAAAACTCAGAAGAAACCAGAAGGATTGTATCTCAATATAATATAGGCTACATGTAATAAATCTATACCAACACCATACTTAACGCAAAATAATTAAAATTTTTTCTCTAAAGCTAGAAACAAGATATTCCCCAGTGCTGATATGGTACCCTATTACCCACAGACAATTTGAGAAAATAGTCAAATGGGTCCAAATTTTTGGCAGGTTGGGTCTTAGGCTTGATAGGCAGGCACTCTACCACTTGAGCCACTCCACCAATGGTTTTTGCTTTCATTGATTTTCCTAGTAAGGTCTTGCTTTTTGCGCAAGCTTTCCTGGATCTCCATCCTCCTATTCATACTCCCTACATAGTTGGAATGACAAGCATACTAGGCCCTGAGTTTAAAACCACAGTACCATAAAAAAAGTTAAAGAACTAGGGCTGGGAATGTGGCTTAGTGGTAGAGAGCTTGCCTAGCATGCATGAAGCCCTGGGTTCCATTCCCAAGTATCACATACACAGAAAAAGCCAGAAGTAGTGCTGTGGCTCAAGGGGTAGAGTGCTAGCCTTGAGAAAAAAAAAAGCTCAGAGACAGTGTCTAGGCCCTGAGTTCAAGCCCCAGTACTAGCAAAAATAAAATAAAATAAAATAAAAATAGAGAACTAAATAAATTATTTCACAATAAATAATAGTCATTAGTCATAATGCTAGCCATACAACAGAGTAGTTAAGAAAAACGGTATTTTCTCTTAAAGGCTTGTTTTCCACAAAGTATTCACTAAGTTTTTAATATACACACAGACAAAATACAAACATATGGATAAGTAAAAATTTAAATTAAGCATTAACACTATCAGCAGGTGCACACTGATTTATTTAATGATTGGATAGTGGGTAGGAAATGTTTATTATTAAGCTTCATTTATTTATTTACATTTTTAAAGAATATTCAGCAAACACTGTATTTAAAATTTCAGAGATGGGAGCTAGTGGCTCATACCTGTAATCCTAGCTACTCAGGAGGCTGAGATCTGAGGATCTCAATTTGAAGCCAGCCTGGGCAGGAAAATTCCATAACACCAGTTAATAATAATTCCAGTTAACCATCAGAAAACTGGAAATGGCACTGTGGCTCAGTGGTAGAGCACTATCCTTGGACAAAAAAGCTCACAGACAGTGCCCAGGACCTGAGTTCAGGCCCCATGACCAAAAAATAAAAGAAAATACAATAAAATAAAATTTTAGAACAGAAAGGATAGAGAAAAGAAGGGAAGGATGGAAAGAAGGAGCAAGATGAGTATGAATCTCAAGCTGAGGACAACGCCTCTGAGAAGGCAGACCCAGAGCCATGGGAAATGGAGAGACAGGAGATGGTGATAACTAGAAGGGTGAGGAAGACCATATACTTCTTTCCCATAACAAATGATAATAAAATAAGATTTAGCACAACAAATTATATTTTGGTTTGTTTAATAACTGCATACTTAACATTATACTGAGTGCTTTATCAACTGACTAACATCCCCAGGTCTTATTTTTGTTTTCTTTAGCTTAGTTTTCAGATAGTGTCTTGTTATTTGCCTGGGGCTGGTTTCAGACCACCACCTTCCTACTTCTGCCTTCTGCATAGCTGTGATTACAGAAATGGATCACCACACCCAGCTATTTATAGCTATTCTAAATGGCAATTTAATGTCTCTCAAACAAGGAGTTTGTACACACTGCCTATTCTGGTAATAGTGGGACCAATTTAAAATTTAAAAAGAAAAACAAAATAAAAAGAACATTGCAAATGTTTCTCACTTCATGGCAAACTGTCCTAAAGAGCTTTATTTTATTCTCGGCTTGAGTGGAAGATATTTTTTTTGGGGGGTGGGGGGCCCGGTCGTGGGGCCGAACTCTGGGCCTGGGCGCTGTCCCTCAGCTCTTCAGCTGAAGACTAGCGCTCTACCATTTGAGCCACAGCGCCACTTCTGGCTTTTTTCTTTTTGCTTATGTGGTGCTGAGGAATCGAACCCAGGGCCTCATGCATGCAAGAGAAGCACTCTACCACGGAGCCACCTTCCCAGCCCCACAAGTGGAAGATTTTTTTGATGAGCTCTCTGACTCTGGTGTGGTTGGAATCCGTAGACTTACAATCTACAAATACTAATGACAACCAAGCCCCAGGAGTAAGCTTTTCCATTCCTCAGAAATGTCTAATTATGTTTTAATAAAACATATTCTAACAATGAAACTAAGAGACAGATACTTATCCCATGACGAAATAAACTATTTGCTAAATGAGGCATCAATTCATACCTGAAAAGATCCTATGACCTAACATTCTCCCTCCTGAAAAGATACACAGAAAATGTCAAATTAAATGGATGATTTGTCTACTTCTCTACAACGCTTTATTTGAGACAAAATTAAACTCTGAAAAGTATGTCTTTTGAGTAAACCCCAAATCATGCCTGTCAGTTTGACTCAGAGCCTTGAACTCTCCTTGGATTTTGCTTGGCTAATTTTCTACCACTTAGGCCATGCTTTCACCTCAGCTTTTTGCTGATTAATTGCAAATAGAGCCTCACAGACTTTTCTGCTCATGTTGGCTTTGAACCTCCATCCTCTAGATCTCAGCACTTGAGTAGTTAGGATTATATGCGTGAGTCACTGGTGCTTGGCCCTGTAAACATTCTTTTAATGCAAAATACAAAGACAAAAATAGTAGGAAAACATCTTACTCTACAAATACTGACACCAGCGGCTACCTTTAGAGGTACACAAGGAGGAAGAGGTATCCGTACAGGAAGCAAATTCCCTCGGCAATGCCTGCTTACACAGGAGAACAACTGTCCCCTTGCCTTTGGAAAATGACATCAGGACACAACACATAATTACAGACACTACTCCTGAGAAGACAAAGCAGCTCTAAGCAAGCATCACTCTATACCAGTGAGACAGCATACAGGCTGTGATTTTACAGAAAGAGCAACTTCCAGTGCTGAAGCATAAATAAGAAACACAGTGGAGTGAAATGGATTTGAAGTAAATAAAACTAGAAAGCTGACAATGGAAACAGTAGGGCAGAAGGTTCTAGAAGCTATAAAAACAAGGAAACAAATTAGAACACAAACAACTGACATAAAGAAAACAGAAAATGGAAACATTTCAGAGCTGATGTGGTAAAAGATTACCAATTCCATATCAGGTCATTTTTTCTAAATTGACTCACTAAGGCTTCTTAAGTTACAAATAGTACCAAGACTACCCAAGTTCCTTTCTGTCATAATCACTTTAAGAGTCCACTGTCTGTTAATACAGACAACCTGGGTGCCAGTGTAATAGAGGGCTTTCTGTTTGTTAGAGAGAATGAGAAAGCACCAGCGAAGTTATTATGCTTCCCAATTCAAAGGGAAGAATTGTTATTTGCCCACTTAATAAATGGCATTAGTGATCTTTGATACTTAAGACAGGTGATTTTTCCATAAATTATGAAATTATCTTTTTTCATGCTGGACTTTAAGATTATATAAAATGAAAAATGGTATTATAAACCAAAAATAGGAGAATTATTTCCATGTCTTAATAACAGAAATTCTTTTAGACTTATAAAAACAGCTGCCTTACTTCTAATATTTTATTTTTATTAAAAAATATTTATTAAACAGTTACCAAAGTCAGGTAAAGTGTACATTTCCTTTTGAACAATGTCACTGCTTTCCCTGCTCTCTCCCCAGTTTTTCCCTCCTATCCTACCCACAAGTTGTGTAGGTTTTCAACATGGTGTCCAGTGAGTACCATTGCTGAATTTGTTCACCTTTTGTCCATGCACAATTCCAAAGAAAATAGACAAACAAAAGAAAAAAGAAAACGAAAACAGACATGAACCCCAAGACAGGGACACAGTGGTTTTTTTCTTTCTTGCTATTGTTTTTAACGTACTTATAATGCACTATGTGATTCTCTTGTTTCTTGTTTTTCCCCATGGTATAACCCCTGTTTTCACTGTATCTGATTCCAGTGTCCTGCATCTTGTATATATACATTTTTATAATTTGTGGAGGGGAAGGGATATAACAAAATGCTTAAATAAAGATACAGGTTGACCCACTGTAAAAATGAGATGTACAAGACACTACATTGAAAATAAATTTTACAACTTTTTGGGGGAGGGAGGAGTTGGGGAGGGAAGAGATGATAGGGGAAAAACAGAGGAGGAGGTAACAATGCTGGATAGGAAATGTACTCATTACCCTACTCATGTAACTGTAACCCTCTGTACAGTATTTTTTTAATTTTTATTATTTTTTTGTGAACACAATGTATAGAGGGGTTACAATTACATGGGCAGGATAATGCGTACATTTCTTATCAAGCATTGCAGCTTCCTCCTTTGTTTACCCTTCACATCCCTCTGTACAGTATTTTTACAATAAAAATATATATAGAAAAAAAAAAGAAAACAAAAATGGCAAAAAAGAAAAAAATCATCTCCATTTCCTGGAGTTCATTTCCATAACTATTATTCTGTATGATCAGATGCACATAGGTACTGTGCCTTTCTGTTCCTTCCTGAGAGTATCTTCCTTTGGTCATATTATGTGTGAATGCCTACAGACCTGTATTTTAATGTATTTTAGATCTAGTTTCCTCATATGAGAGGGAATATGCACCATTTGTTTCTCTGAGCTTGCTTACCTCAGTTAACAAGATTTGTCAAAAATAAATTGTTGTATTTCTTTTTAAACAATTATACATGAAAAAAAAAGTTTGCAACTCCTGGCTGGTTGTTAACTCACTTTTTTGTTTTGTGCTGGTACAGTGTTATGCTTGCTGAACTTGCTTTGCCTTCATTAATTACACTTAACACAGAGGATCAACACCAGACTTCTTGTGAGAAAGATACTAAAAACTTAATGTCACATCATAAAATTAGACTTCAAAATGTATTGGATTAGTAGTATTTATTAAATTTTGTTTAGGAAACAACATACATTTATTTAAAAAGGCTCCAGTTACTTGAAAGAGTTAGTAAAGAGTGACATATGTACAACTAAAGTTTTGTAGTCATTCACGAAGAATCTACTCTCTAAGCCCCTGAATTCTGATTATATACTAATTATAGTGTGAAGCACTAATTAAGCAATGCTAATAACCACCTTGAACAAATAAAGTAATAATGGCAAAATACTTTAAAAATACAATACTTCTTTTAGATTTTTTACCAGATTATACTTGCCTCAAAGCCAAGTCTATCCTTTTCTTTCCAGAAACAAAAATGTGTTACTTTCTTATCCCAGAATTCATCTGGCTTCACTACACAAACAAGGGATACCTCTGCTGGAACAACATTCTGTAAAACACAGGGAAATAGGTAAAAATTATGCATGCAGAATGTTAAATTATTACATTAAAATTAATATTCATAAATTATGCTAAGTAAGAAACTTAGGAAAAAATTAAAATAAAGTAGAAAAGTCTCCAAACTTCCAAAAACAAATGGCAATAAAGATGTGATAGCTATTTAGAAGAGATTTCAATGTTAGACAGACTATATGAACTACTTTTTGTTTTTCTCAACTCTCTACTAGCGAGTAAATTTACAGTTCAAGGAAAGTTTTAGCTAGAAATAATTAAAACCAGATTTTTTTGGGGGGATACAAAAAATTTCTAATACTATCATCTTAAAGAATCTCTTCAAAAAATATAAAGTCAATTTTCATACAAAGTAAGTTTAGTCTCAACCATACAAATTCTGCAACATTATCTTTCACATTATACAACTTCGCAATTGCTGGATATGGTTATTTGTACTACCTGAAGAAGAAAGGAAATTAATATTTATTGCCTTACACATATTTCACATGTATTTTTCAGGAAATTTCAGAAAGTCTAACTTTAAAACACATCTTTTATTCTAAACATTTCCACCATCTGCAATGCTAACATTGCCAAACCATTCCCATTTCTGAAATATTCTTGTACTAAGATTACTGCTTGACATTTCTCTCATGCTCACAATAGGGTTCAAACCCTTTTCCCAGGAACTCTGACATACTCTAAGCTTAGTCCCTGCTGTCCTAGGGACCCCACCTTTCACCTCTCCCCACAACTGTCATGATGACCCTTGCTGCTCCTAACTTGTAAGTCTGCTCCCACCTCAGGCCTTTCCCCATAATGCCTGTGTCCAGAATGTCCTTTCTATAATAGCAAGACTATCCTGTTTATTTAAGCATCTATATAAATGCCTTAAAGAGACCTTACTCATCCCTTCTACCCGAAGCAATACTTTTAGGCTGCCTTTGGCACTACCTTTCCACAGCATCTGTCATCTGATGTTATATTAGTTATTAATTTGCTTAATTGCTCATTAGCTCCTCAAACAGCTCACTAACTCCTCAAACAGCATATGAGGTTTCCAACAACAGGTATCTGACCTATTATGTCACCCTTAGAGTTGCAATATCTGACATACAGAAAACACTAAATATTTGCTGAATAAGCAAATCCTCATTAACAAGTACATCGCATTTTTTCTATTTTACAGAATAATCTTAGTGTCACAAAGTACCTCATCTAAGATAATGAGTTTAAAAGTAATAGATAAGAATCAAAACCAGGTACATCTGATTCTTAAGTTCTATCACAGCATTTTAGATGTCCTCGACCACAGGTCAGATAAACATCATTTTTGGCTTCACAGGCCATACTGCTTCTGTGGCAACTACTCAATTCTGACAAAATAGAGGAAAGAAGACATAGATTCTATGTAAATGATAGGCATAGCCTCATGCCAATGAAGTTTATTTACATTTAGAGGTCTCATTCCTATTCTAAACCATAGCAGTGATAAACAACACAAAACGTTTAAGATAAAATCTTATCATTTAAATGTGTCACTGGGAACTTCAGAAATCTAGTGCCTCTTGCAATGATTGGGCTATAACTAAGGAAAACAAAACAAAACTCAAAAGTGTCAAAACTTTAATCAGAGAAGCTAAGAACATTAGAGATTTATTCAGTTATTGACTTGTGGAAGATTAGTATTTCAAAAACCTGAAAGCTGTGAGAACCTTTGAAATAAAAACAGTGAGTGACTCTGCCTGTAGAAATGTTTTAACCAGGACAAAACAGCAGGCCATGGCAAACTCTGAAAAGGTCAATTATGAATAAATCCAAAAGTTGGTAAAAAAAAAAAATCTATCAGAAAAGAAATTGCAAGGGCAGATGAATCCACTGATTCTTCAACACTGCCACTGCTCAAAGTCCAGTTTAAATGGCAAGTCCCAAATATCTTATCCATGATACATACGATATATACATATGATACATATGATGTAGGGATAGCCACAAGATCATAATTCATGGGACTTCTCTTCTGCAAATAATTTTAACAACTTTTTTCATAGAGAAGAGGTAATCATCAGGGTTTGGAATGTAAAAGTGCCAGAACATACTTGCCAGAAAAAAGTACTAATCTATGCTCCTCAAAAACTGATCCTACAGAGGCCTTTTCTACCCACGAGTGATCTTAGAGATGAAATATTTAGGTCAAACGCTCAAAAAGAATGAAGAAATGAGCAGATAATTTGGGTATATGCGTTGGTTAAAAAAAATAATACACAATGCTTGATAAGAAAAGTACTCATTATCTTGCCCATGTAATTGTAACTCCTCTGTACAGTATTTTCACAATTAAAAAAATAAAAATAAATACAAAAAATCAATTTTGCAATTAAAATTAATTATTTTAAATAGGAAAAAAATAATAATACACACTTAATCTGGGTGTTGATGGTTCATGCCTATAATCCTAGCTACTCAGGATGCTGAGATCTGAGGATCACCATTTGAAGCCAGCCTATCTGGAAAGTCTATGAGACTCTTCTCTCCAATTAACCATCAAAGGCAGGAATGGAGCAGTGGCTCTAGATACAGCATTCACAGTTCAAGCCCCAGAACCGGCACAACAAAATAAAACAAAACAAAACAAAACAAACAACTAAACAAGCAAGAGAAAAAAAAAGAGTAAAACCAAGTCTGAGTTCAAAGGCAATTCTAATTTCCAATTTTAAATTATTTGAATTCCTTATGTTTTGGATGACCTTTTAAGATATGAGACCTTACTCTGAAAGGTTAGATTGTGAGGCTAAAATTAAATAAGATAATTCACCTAGCAATAATAGAAAAGTACCTGAACCACATTAAACACTGAAACTAAAACCAAAATTACTTTGTTCCCACTACTCAGATACTTTTATCCCAATTACTCTAAATAAATGATCAAACATTAGGAATTATTCGCCTTAGTAATCACTTACATTTTTAAATTATATTTTCTCCACAGAACCATAAAGCAGCTCCCAACTATTCATCAAATTCATTTAAAACTCCTGATCTACCTCTCACCATTACTGATATTCACCTCACTGAATGCTCTCTACCCCACACTACCATCAAATTATATTTTCTCATAGCAGTTTCTATCAACTCTTCATTGAATGTGCTTCATTTTTGAGTTATCACTAAGCCACAGTCCCTGCCAGGACTGGCTTTTCATTTTCATTCATTTAAACTAGATAACTTCTTTAATTATCTCAAATCTTGTTTCTCTAGAAATCTTTCTATGGACAACTGGGTGCCTAAGAGTAAGCCAGGCCCTTTCAGTCACTCAAATGTTTTATTTTCCCATTTCACAAGGTAATAGTTCCAAAGCTCTTCTAATAAACCTAAAACTTCTAACTAGGAGACTGCTACATGCCAGGGGTCATAGACCTATTTCTGCGACAAACATAGGAAATACATAACAGGCATTCTCAAGGACTTAATAACTTGGTTTATTAAATGTAATCTGCAAGCCTTTAAGGTCCCACAAAAAAACTTAACTACAGGGCTGGGAAAGTGGCTCAGTGGTAGAGTGCTTGCCTTACATGCATGAGGCCATGGGTTCGATTCCTCAGCACCA